TTTGTGATGCGCCGTTCAAGTTTCTGATCCGTATAGAAGAAGTGAATGACTTCATATTTGTGTTGGAAATCCGAATCTTGTTGTTTATGCTAGCTGAAGTGGAGTGAAGCAGAGGATTTCGAAACTGGTTTCAGGTTGATGAAGGCATGCGTATCTCGCTTGTCTTTCCAATGCTGACTGGCTGGCTTTCGCGTCTTTATCCCTGCTGTTGCTTGTGGTTTAAACGATGCTGCCTAGCCAGATAAGTTGAGGCGGGAAGTAACCTCTTTCTCCCGTTGATGTTGACTGGTGCTGTTTGTTGTTGTTGTCTCCACCTTCTCTATGTTCACCTGGAGTCCTATCTTCGCTGCCTACCTCTTCAGTCAGTTTGTTGGTTGTCGACTACATTTTAACTGTAGCATGTTATTACCATTATTATTATTGATTACTGTTCCCTTGGATTGCGAGTGGAACAAACGGTTTCATCAACGGAACACCACCACTTGGTTCTGTTCTCTGCAGTCTTCTTTACTCAGTCCAAAAATCTTCTCAGTATACGGCCCATCCGTCTCTATGTTCTTCAGAGCATTTTTTCTGAGCAATCGCTTCTTGGCTGATTTTTTCCCAGAATTCCTTGTAGCTAATTTTTTTTTCTGGCTGGTCATTTCATCATCAGTGTGGAGCAAGTGAAGGCAGCTGTTGATCAGAATTCTTCAGTGACCCGTTGGGCATGCTTTTTTACAACAGGTGTACCATGTATTTAACTCATATGTCGGTTTCAGAATTGATTTGACAAAATAAGTGTTGAAAATCACAATTGTATTCTTTATTGTGAGGGAGAGGGTCGGTGCTTTGCATCCTAACTTCTGTGCCACCGACACACAGCGGTTAGAACGCTCGCCGACCATGCATATGGTCCGTGGTTCGATCCCCTGCCAACGCACTCATTTACCTCGCTGAGCCAGAAATAATGCTGGTAAAGAGTAAAGGTTGGGCATAAAGCTAGCAACCCCATCCTGTAAAAATTAAACACTGCTACAGGAACTACAAGCCACTAGCTTGAAGATGCCCTATGTTCCACTGGGAAGGTGAAGGAAAACAAGAGGGTAGAAGGTTTTCAGACTGATTTTAAAACTGCTGATAGTCTTCCTTGCCTTCGCCGACTACCTAAAGTTGAAATGATGATGCCTTAATATAAGTGAGTGAAGGGAATGATGTCTTTCAAATCTATTCTGCTGATAGTAATTGGTGTTTGTTTTTGTTGTTGCTAGTCGGTGGGTATCTGTATCGACCTCCATTTTCTCTATTCGTATTTTGAAATTATGTCTTAGTTGATTTTCTCACCTCTGCGTCTTCGAGTTTGTGCAAATGAAGGCACGTATTGGATGCAGGTAAATATGCGGGCACAGAATGATTCGTCAAATGCGAATACCATTATGACACTGGGACCCGATCGAATGGCCAGTCAGTCCGTGAATTCAAACTTCTGAGAATTCATGCATGACATAGGCTCTACCAGTTAGAAATGTCTTCTTCGATGAGTTACCGCCTCAACTTCAATCTGCTGCACACTTTTGGTCAAAACTTCCCACTAGAACCCAGGTTAACTGCCTGAATAGCGCCAGTTGCTAGTGAGTATCACATTTATTTTCAAGTATTGGTTATGTAAGGGAATTTTGTTTGATTGGTTGGAGTATTTCATCATAAGCTGACATCAGTCAGAGAGCCATTGCTGAAGAGTCCAAAAAATAGGACGAAACAGCTGCCCAGTACTCACAAGTTTTCCAAAGGTTCTCTAACTGATAGTAGATAAAAATTCCCTACAAAACCAATACTTGTAAATGTGAATACAACAGAAACGTACAGTAGAAAGCCATATAATAATAATGAAATTATCAATTGATAGAAGATAGAATTCATGCATTGGCCATTGAATCAGGTCACAGTGGCTGAATAGTTTAAGGGCTTGCCTTGTAACCTGGAAAGTTCTAACTTCGAAACCCAGTGGGTGAGTACTACCAGTGAGTCCCAGACTAGGCTGACGAAACAGATGTCCAGTACTCCTTGGTTTTCAATAGTTATCTAACTGACATGAATCCCTGCAAATAAGAGAGATTTGTAGCTCAGGTGAATGATTATGAATGAGGTATGTTCTCTGAGCTTGTTGACAATGACGAATGAAATCCAACGGAGCTGTTTTACCTCAAATTTACGGTAAACTGCAAACCACGCAAACCAAACAATTCCCTTACGACTAATCGTTTTTTCTGCCAGAAACACCAACATACAGTCTGTCTAAAGAACTTTTCAGAAAAGTAAAAAAAATACCTAACAGAATCATGCGACCATTCTATCGATTTGTTAATACAATTCTTAGAGAAAATCAATAACATTCAAGTAGATGACAATGAAATAATGGTGTCCCTTGATGTCACAGCATACTTTATACTTTAGTTAGTTCAAAACTAGCAAAAGAAACTTATGCAACAATTACTCGATAGACATGAGAACAGAAAAACTCAATGTTCAACTTCGATGAAACTCACAGAATTATGTCTTACAACACATGCACTTCCAATTCAATAATCAAATACACAATAAACAGATAAAACGACCACCAATGGGATCATCACCCATATCAGGATTAATAACTGATGCAAAGATTAGAATCAATAGCTCTACCTACTCATGATTAAACCAAAACTCTGGATTGATGACGCATTTGTAAAAGTTATAAAACATGTAATTTGGCATACACCCACAAATTAGTAAAAAAACATTTGTGAAGACATTAAGTTCACCAGGGAGAAAAAGATGAATTTTTTTCCTTCACATTCCCAGTGGAATATAGGGCATCTTCAAGCTAGTGGCTTGAAGTTTCTATAGCAGTGTTCATTTTACTGGATAGGGTTGCTAGCTTTATGCCAAACCTTTACTCTTTACCAGCATTATTTCTGGCTCAGCGAGGTAAATGAGTGCGTTGGCAGGGGATCGAACCACGGACCATGTGCATGGTCGACCACAACAAAATTCCATTCTTAGTTGGATGTTTGTCTTAATCAAAAGAACTAACACAGGAAATTTAGAAACACAAGTACACAGTAAACCAGAAGACACACCTACACAAAACAAATACTCGCCTTTAACAACAATAATCCAACTACTCAGAAAAGAAACTGTGTGCAGACATTGTTTAGAAGAGTTCAGACAAACTGTAGCACTATTTGGGTGTTGAAGAGAATGAAGGAAACATACCCACTAACTGTCTTCTTCAGAGTGTTTAAACTCGACTCTTAACACAACCAACATCAATATCCACAATTAAGATCATCCTCGTATATATAAGCAAATATATTTCTGATATAACTGCTAGAATATCAAGACAGTTTGAAAAAGATACTCCCCACAATCCAGCCAACTAGCCAGTCAGACAGGCTGACAGCCAACGAACACAATCACATCACTCAACCCCACCTCCATCACGAGTTTATGTGCGTCGGTGGCGCAGTGGTTAAGACTCTCGCCGACCGTGCACATGGTCTGAGGTTCAATCCGTTGCTGACGCATACCTGATATCTATGGTCGGCCTGCAAAATTTGGGCTACCGATATCACATGCTGAAAGTTCCACGAAAAAAATACAGTGTGGAATCAAGTTGTAATAAAAAATTAAAAAATAAAATCAAATATTATTGAATTGAATTCTTGATTTTCCCGTCGATTGATTGGACCGAAGTGCTCGGTCTCAGGTTGACATGACGGCTTCTTGTGCAGATGCTTCGACGATGTCTGGGGATTTGATTTGTATACAATTGGTGGATGGTGGCTAGCAGTGGAATCCAGGATGCGCATTTCGTCCTAATTGGGACTCGTCAGCTGGATGTACCTGCATTTCTCAGTGAGTGATGATGTTCCCACCGAGGCTCGAACCCAGTGCATCCTGGATTCCACTGCTAGCCACCATCCACCAATTGTATACAAATCAAATCCCCAGACATCGTCGAAGCATCTGCACAAGAAGCCGACATGTCAACCTGAGACCGAGCACTTCGGTCCAATCAATCGACGGGAAAATCAAGAATTCAATTCAATAATTAATATGACCCGTTGCACAAGAGGTGGCTCTCGTGGCCCAAGTGGTCTAGTGGATAACGCTTTGGCGTTTGAAACTATGGGTACTGAGTTGGAGCCTCGATAGGAACATCATCACTCACCGAGAAATGCAGGTACATCCAGCTGACGAGTCCCAAATAGGACGAAATGCGCATCCTGGATTCCACTGCTAGCCACCATCCACCAATTGTATACAAAATCAAATATTGTTCAGAGAAAAAGATCCATTTAGCAGGAAAGCAAGATAAAATTAATGCCATTTATAAAATCCATTGCACACATGAACTGCAATCAACATTACATCAGTCGAAGTGGACATCACCTTCGAATCAGAAAGCAAGAAGACAAATTAGCTGTAAAAAGACATGATATATATTCTTTCATCAAATCAATGCATGTGCAGATATTTACGGACATCAATTTGATTGGGATAATATCGAAATTTCCAATAGAGCAACAAACAACATGAATGCCGTCAGGGAATTTCTCGAAGCCTGGTTGGTACACAAGTGAATCAGCAGCCAGTGATTAACAAACACACAATACTATAGACGGAATTTATCAGCTAACAGAGAGAGTTAATCATCATATGATATGACAAGAAAATTCAAATTCTGTTTCGATAAAAATGACCAACTCAGATGCAAATTACCAACCATTCAGAACATTGGTTGTCAGGATGGAGACAATTATATCATCATTCATGTAGAGAGAATTCAAATAAGTTTATTGCATACTAAGACTTGCTTTGAGGATGTTGCCTAGAAAGACAATAGAAGTTCCGCAATTAAATCATCATCATCAGTCAACACCACAGAGAACACAGCTAATTCGAAATCCCTACAAATTAATTATTGATAATAATAATAACAATAATAGTAGTAGTAATCACAAAAATCTCTTACTTACACTGTCACAGATAAATCGTTTCCACGAAGGTACTTCCTCTTCAGCTAGTTGCGACTGTAATAACCAACAGTAATAATGATAAGATAATACAGACTTTCTTGCCACTGATTTATCCTCTAAAGATCCTGGTAGACGTTGCATACCCGTACCTGGTATTCCATTGGCTTGTGGAAAATATATTGCATAAGTTATAGGATCAAAAAATATCAGCGAATTTTCATCCTTTTCACGGATAGTTTTAATTAAATAGTCATAGAGTGCCAGTAACTGATGACCTGAATTATCTGTTCAGTGAGAGACAGAAAGAGAGAGAGAGAGAGAAAGAGCAGGTAAAACTCAGGAGAAAAAGCCACAGAAAACTTATTGTGTTAACTGAACTCACCATAAATAAACCTTCTAGGGGAACTGATGAAGTCAGTTATCCTGACACTTACATCAGAGACATCATTTTAATATGTACAGAAAATACCAGATTCACATTCGAAGAAAAGGCATACAAAGAAATCAATGGTGTCACGATGGGAAGCACTTTCAGGCGCCTGCTAGCAAATATATTCATGTCGAAATCGAAGAAACAAACGCAAGGTATGCCAGGAGAATTTATGCTATGTAAACGTTATGTGTATGATAGACTCATTATTGGAAATCACAGAAAGTTTATTGAGAACTTTATTACTCTATTTCATGCACATCCAAATATCCGAGTGACTTACGAATTTGGAAGGCACAACAAACTCGATTTATTGAATATTCCAATGACCAGGAGAGACGACGGAATGATTATGCCATCTATATTTCATAACCAGACACTGAGTGGACAATATCTTCATTGCACCTGTATAAATGTTCCCTAGTGAAATGTTTGTTTTTCAAAGGCCCGAAAAATATGCACGAGTGACACATTGATGAATGAGCTTCGACACATACTTTCACTTTTATTAGTTAATGGTTATCCAGAAAACTTTATCACTTGTCATAGTAAAGAAAGACCACATCTAGAAAAGACAGTTTCTGTACCAAAGAAAGATATCTTTATTAACCTAGCATTCAAGAGTGACCAGATCATGCAGTTGACAGCTCAGACACTTCGGTCAGCTATCAAACGCACATTCTATGCCAAATCTCTTTTTCTCATTTGCCAAACATTTTCTATCCTTGTACCTACCATTAAAGGACGAAATTCTGTGGACTCCACATCAAACTCTATCTACAAGTTCACCTACAGTTGCGGTGACACTTATATAGGTAGAAACAATAGAATGTTCCAATGTGGTCGTCGAAAAGAACATGTTCCAAAATGGTTATTAAAACATATAGAAAATCCCAATGCAATTAATCTGAATAGAAATCCATAGTCATCATCCATTGCAAAGCACTTATTAATGTCAGGTCACAAAGTCGATATTAATGACTGCTTCACAATTATTTCATCACATAACTCAAGGTTGGTTATTTAAGGTGATAACCCTAACCTACCAGGCTACTTGTAAAGCGGTTGTAAAAAAAACTACGAAATAATATCATCTCGCGAAATTTGTCTTTTAAATGCTTTATTCAAATATATATATATATATATATATATATATATAACTTCATTATGCATAAGATTTTATTTTAGTGAATCACACAGTGTTGTGCAGTAATATTAACTGATGACGTTTCGAGCACAAACTATCGCTCATAATCATATCATTTATATATATATCTTCTTTTCGATAACCTGCTTTTCATCAGAATCTACGGTTATAGCATTCATAATAATGGTAAAAGAATTAGGGTTAATGTCAGTAAAAACAGTCTCAGCATTGTGGAATAGATCAAATAAATTATAACTATATTTCAGTAGTTTACACACAATGATAAAATTTGGTTTTTTCGGTAATATGCGCAGATAGAATACGTAGACTGACACGATGAGACCAGATGACCAGCGAAAAGAAATAAACACCTTTTTCAAAATGTTACTTGACAACAACTACCAGAAAGAATTTATCAGATATAATATAAAGAAAAGAAAAAAGAAGAGGGTACAACCAGGAAACGACAAGAAGGAGGAATGTTAAAAAATAATCACAATACCAAACAAAAATGGTGAATCAGAAGCAGTTCGAAGAAACTGCAAAAATTATCGGGACTCGCACCAGTGAAGCTAGTTAAAAATAAAATAAATCAACTGAAAGATCCAATAAAAATGTTGGATAGAAGCAGTAATGTATATTATAATAAAGGTCTTTGTATTTCCCAATAAATGAAAAAACAAAAACCTTTATTATAATGAATATCATATACCACCCAAGGCCCAAATATTTTTAAACTGTTAAAAGTGAAACTGTATTCAATTGGTGAATGGTGGCTAGCAGTGGAATCCAGGATGCACATTTCGTCCTATTTTGGACTCGTCAGCTGGATGTACCTGCATTTGTCGGTGAGTGATGATGTTCCTATCGAGGCTCCAACTCAGTACCCATAGTTTCAAACGCCAAAGCGTTATCCACCAGACCAGTGTGTGTAAAAGGAACAGGCCCAGCTGACCTCTACTACTGCCCTGTCCTTTAGTGAAGACTATAAATTCATGAATTCCATATTATTATTATTATTATTGCTTTTCCTGATTTGTCAAGTATTCAATGTCGTGTTATGTTGATGCATATTATCACACTTATAGATACTACTGAACTGTACTCTATTCATATTATTGATTGGTTCGATGTGATTTAAACAATAATGCTGTTCAGAAGGGACTCAAGTTCCTTCAACCTTGCAGATACACCTTGTTGACTAATGGTGAGTGCCAACTGGCACAAAATCTAAGCCTAAGTAAGGCTTCCTGTGGCCAGTTGCCTCCAACCATCTAATGTCAACAATATACAGTACACCATGATGGCAAGATACTAAGTCGCATCATCCTGGAGAGAATCAAACAAGCCCTAGATGGAAAACTTCGTCCGGAACAGGCTGGATTCAGGAGTAACAAATCATGTATTGATCAAATCGCCACTCTACGGATCATCATTGAACAAAGCTTGGAATGGAAATCACCTCTCAACCTCACTCAACTTCATCGACTTTGAAAAGGCCTTCGATGGTGCAGCGTCGATCGAGAGGTCATTTGGAGACTACTTCGCTACTACGGGGTCCCATCGACAATTACACATCTCATCCAACAGTTATACGACAATGCTGCATGCCAAGTAATCCACAACGGGAAACTTACGGAGGCCTTCGAAGTGAGGACGGGAGTGAGGCAAGGCTGTCTACTATCACCAATGATCTTCCTGATTGCAATTGATTGGATAATGCGACAGACAACGGCAACCAACGGGGGAACAGGCATAAAATGGACTCACACAAAAGACTTGGAGGATCTGGATTTCGCCGATGATATATGTCTGATTTCCCATAAACTGGAAGATATGCAAGTGAAAAGTAACAAGTTGGCAGAAGAAGCATCAAAGATAGGACTTCACGTGAACATAGATAAAACAGAGATGATGAAGATTCCTAGCCAAATTCAACAGCAAAAACAACAACAACAGACAACAATCAGCATAAATGGGAAGAACCTGAAAGAAACAACCTCCTTCACCTACCTGGGAAGCATCGTCTCAGTTACAGGCGGAACTGACGAGGACATCAAAGCCAGAATCGGAAAAGCAAGACAAGCTTTCATTACTCTCAAATCTGTGTGGAGGTCAACAGCAATCAGCATGAAAAATAAGATCCGGATTTTCAACTCCAATGTGAAGTCAGTGCTACTATACGGATCAGAGACTTGGCGAGTCATAAAGAGCATCTCAAACAAACTTCAAACCTTCATTAACAACTGTCTCCGCTCAATACTCAAGATCAGATGGCCAGAAAAGATCAGCAACACGGATCTCTGGGAGCGAACCAACGAGGAACCGATTGTGAAACAAATAGGCAGAAAGAAATGGAGATGGATTGGCCATACGCTGAGGAAACCATCAAGTGACATCACTAGACAAGCCCTCGAGTGGAACCCGAAAGGGAAGCGGGTGGCAAGTTGGTCGTCCAAGGGTGACTTGGAGGAGGTCATGCGAGGAGGAGATGGAAGCATGTGGACAGACCTGGAGCAGGGTGAAAAAGTTGTCAGAAAACCGAAGTTAATGGAGGTGCGCAGCTGAAGCCCTATGTTCCTCTAGGAACTAAAGGATACAATAATAATAAATGATGGCTAGCCATCTAGCCTGTTGGTAGTCACACTGCAAACTTAACTGACTGATAGGATGTAGTAGGATGTAGTCTGTAGCAACACCAAGGACTAGACACACTACACCAGTTGCTGACTAGTGTTCAGTCAAAATATCAAATTGTGAGTAGTATGAAGATACACACATCGAGGATAGTCAAGACAAGATTGTAAACTTCAGTCGTTCCAGGTGAATGAGGAGTGTGTTATGCATCTAAAAAAAACAACCAACAGTCCATGTATAAAATTCCATATTAGCCAGAAAAGATTAACACTGCCATTCACTAGTTTAATAATATCTATAATCCATAGCCTAAGATTTCAATAGGACTGAAAACGGCTGGAACTCCAGATGACTTGACCTGCACAAGTCTACAGGAGTGATTCATCTATGCGTATACTCAGCTAAATCGTAATGTTACACAGGGGTTTTGTATTTCTTTCATGTTAATTTCGGATTTCACTCACTACCTATGTATGTATAACTGTCTTCATTCCAGGTGTTGACTTACAGGGATTTGATCGCCTTCAAGTTAGTGAAAATATTCACTCAGATATTTAGAAGACAAAAGACAAAATTTGAGCAGTAAAGAATATCCTTTTCGATAATTCCCTTTTCAGGTTCTACACGGAATATTCTAGAATAATCGTCGTTGACAATATTGGTATTCCTGATATAATGTCAACGGAATTACAGTTCAAGAATGATGCATAAGTTATAATAAGAAGCATAAAAATGTAGTGGTAAATAGAATATCAAATAAAATTATGTAGGTCACCAAAACAAATTAAGGACCATTAAAAGATTGATTGACAGTCAAATTATGGAAAGTGTGTGAACCAAACAACTTCATCGGGATACACAGACTGGGCTTCTTTATGTCGACTTCAACAGCCTCAGCAGTATGTGTAATAGACGAAGTCTTGAGGTAAAATTAAACGTAGTTGGTATACGGCAGATGACTTTGAAAGCTGCCTTGTTTGCATCAATCTTTATTCTGTATCTACGGGATGAGGTAGAATAGAAGTATGAATGAACTTTGTTTCTCCATTAATAAACCAATGTGTAGGAGA